GCATAGGCTTGCCTCTCTTGCTGCAAATTATTCTGGTATGTTTTCTTATTCTTTCTTCAGTCTGGAAAAGATCATGTTCTGTGATTATTTTTTTTTATTTTTTTTTTAGACAGTATTTGTCCTTTATTCAAAATTCTTCAGCAAAGGATTATAAGAGAGTCAAGGGGATTGCTTTTTCACCACCAACCTCCTGTCGTCTGTCCCTCCAGCAGCACTGATGGCCATTAGTGTTAATTATTTAGTTCCTTGTTTTGCACACAGAAAGCAGCGATCAATGTGCGATGCCAGGTATACGGTTGTATACCCCCTGACTCCAGTACTTTACCCCTCATCTTTCGAAGTGTCTCTTTTCTTTGATACAGCCTTTGGTTTTTATTCAGCAGGGTGTAAGCAGCACTATTTAGAAAGCTTGGAGTTTTGGAGGGTTTTTTTTTTTTCTAGGCAGGATCATTTTCTCTGTAAATGTTGACTTTGTGACACAGTGTGAAACTTTTCTTTTCTTGTGTTTTTATTCATCTCCTGCTAATTATCAGCTGTTGTACATTCTGGGCTGTGGATGACACAAAGGTGAAACCGAATGGGTGACCTTTGCACTCAGGCTCACTGTAGGGTTTTTTTGTTGTTGGATGAGGACAGTCCACAAGGTGTCCAGATTGGAAGTGCTAAGCAGTCATGAGGAGTTAAGACCTTAGACACAGTTTTTCTTTTCTGTCCTGTGCAAAAACACCCCAAAACTCAAAAATGTTGAGCAGCAGCCCCAGATGTTGTAAGCAGTAAATAAGATGATACTCTGGTGGCTAGACTGGCTTTTAGCAATTTCAAGCACCTTTGGTCCTACAAGTGGATTGTGCAAACTGGTACTGAATTGTTCCAACTTCGGTTGAAGTTGCATTGAAATTTATAATCTTTTTTTTTTTTTTTTATGGTGGAGGGAGAAGTGTTCACACCAGCTGGGCTTCATATAACTGACCTGTTCGGATGGGTTGACTGGATGACTCTTGTGGTGCCTAGAGAAAGATCTTCCTTAAGATTCAAATTCTGGTCATTTTGATCCACTGTCTCTAAAATGTAGGGCTGTGGAACAGGGCATGATGTGTCTGGTGTTTATGTAGGTAATTTTTGAGCATTTATGGCCTTCTGAGCTCTCTCCAGAATCAGGCCCAGGCTATGGTATGGATTTGTAGTCACACAATGCATTCTCTATATGCTCAGTAAAACAGAATTTGCTATGTGTTGTGGTCTTCCTATGTTACTTCGATTGCATAAAGACAAAAGATTTGAGAAGATGTTTCTGTAAAAATTGAGGACCACTGCGTATTAGAAACAGCAACACTTGGGGTCACAGTTTTGTCCCATGGGTTCTTCCATGAACTCCAAAAGTTTTACTGCAGAAGACTGCAAAACTAACACGTGCCAAATAATATGAAATAAACTGGGTTGTGGCCTGCCTTCATGGGCTGCATAACTCACAACATAATACAATGTCACACAACAGAAATACTGCTCCTGATGGGTAATGGCGTGAAGAGTGCTGAAGTCATGGTACAAAACTTGCTTAATGATTTGCATTTTTTCCCCTATGTTACAAAATGTAGTTGAGCAGATGGATGCAGCCAGCTGTACATAGAGCTTTAGGGAGGACTGGGGAGAAAAGAGAGAGGTTTTTGTTAAGATAAATGTAATAATCTCTGTGATAATTAGTTTAATTTAGATCCCTGCATCTGACTCATTTTTGACTAACCTTGTACGAAGCCTTTCTTCCCTTGCTGACGAGTCTTTGAATTTAGTTTGATTACAATCCCTTTTTTTGTGCTTGTGGATTGCTCACTGATCACTGATATTTTTCATTAAGCAGTTGCTTTATTACATTGTTATTTAGAGGGGAGTAATTTGTGTTTTCTAATTAATTTAATTCCAGGCACATTTAGTAAGTAGCTACAATGAGCCCATTCAAGGGGTTTTAGGTCATATTGACATTGTTTACCAGATGTGCTCGTTTGTTTTAAAACACTATTAACTCTGTGATGACAACAGCCCCATTCAGTTGCATGACTCTGCCACCTTCTCTAATCTGCACCTCCAAACCTCCCAAAATTAGAAGGTGCATTTGAAGTGCTAGTGAGAGCTGTCCATAGGCATTAAATCACAGAGGAATTACATTGTGAACAGTGTCGATATAGGCTATTACTATTCCATTATCGGACCTGATGGCAGAGCAGCAGACAAGCCTTTTGGCTTCTCTTAGCCAGGGATGTGAATGCCATTACTCCAACCCCCAAAAAATTGGACAGTGCCCAAGAGATGCAAACTGGGTGTTAAATCCATGCTTGTCCCGTTTACCTCTGAAAAACTTGCAGTGAGGCTTCAGGAGAGAGCGGGCAGCCAGGAGGGTGAGCATACCAAGCAAGACATGGCATGAGCAGTGGCTTGGGCAGTGACGGGACACGTTAATGTAATCAAAAGGTGCATGTTGTAGTTCATAGTTGTCACCATCCCCAAACTCAAAGGCTTGGGCAATGGTTTTTGCCAGAAGCTTTTCAGAAAAGCTTAGCCTTTTTTTTGCTGGTGGTGCTCCCAGGATTTGGGGATTATTCAAGCACTTTGTGTTCATCACTGTCAAATACTATATCCATTCCATCCTCTGAGCATGAAAACTACACGTTATACCTATCATTTGCTCATTTGGCTTGCTGCATCGAGAGCTGGAGTTTTAAAATGAGACTCTAATTAGGTGATTAAATAACATTTTTTACAGGAAAAGGTACAGGCAGGTTATTCCCCTGAGTATAAGCTTGTCCTGTGAAAAACTACCAACATTTGTTAGTGTGTTCTGCAGTCACTCATTTTGGTAAAAAGTCAATTACTGCTTGTTCTGCAGCGAAGTCTGGCACAGAGCAGTGAACACTGCAAGATTCATCGGCCTCTGAAGGACCTGCCAAACAGTGGCCTTGATGTGTTTTCCATTATTTTTCAACCCTTTTCCATCTATATTGGAATGGAACAGCCAAAATTAATGACAAACTTTGAAGGAAAGGTTCGTTCGGTAGTTCATACTTAGTAAATGTTAACATTCAGTGCTTGTGATGGAATAAACAGATTTCTGTACATTTTGGACCAATAGCCTAGCTGCATCTCAGCTTTATTTTTTACAGTGAACATGTAAGTAGCTGTAATACCTCTTCTGGCTCATGTTGGTCTGTTAAGGGTGCGTGGGTGCATCAGAATCTGTTCTACCTATTGATTTAATAGGAAAGAGCATCTCTCGGAAAGGGAGAGTAAACGTGTGTGCACGCATGTGGAAGGGGAGAGAGAGAGAGGGAGAATCTCTATCTGTGTGTTTATCTCTGTGATAAATGATGCCTGTTAAAAATGTGACTTGCCGTGGATGTTATTAGTGCTTTCTTCTGTAAGTGTATTTTACAAACACAGTCACTGTCAGCAGAAATGAAGCTGCGGTCTTGATTGTTTAGTTCAAACAGTTGTGATGTTTCATAGTCCCTCGATCGATCAGTGCCTGGAGGGGTATCAGCTATTGGCTGGGAATGCTTCAGAGTGACGCGCAGAGCAAAGATATTCCTCAAAAGCTGAAAATATCTGATTTCAAATACTCATTACAGTTTGCATCCGAGTCTGTGAACAGGCAGCAAAGCAAGCTCTGTTTATCATTCTTAATTGTGAATCTTCCCTATTTAGAACTAACATCTCCCAAATTACCTTAAAATGAGCCTTTTCCTAGACAGATTTGTAATTCGCTTGCATCACTTATTTTATTCCCTGTGTAAAAGTTAGATGAGGGCATGGGTTTTAGCACAAACAAAATGCATAAAGTACAAAACATAATGCGGCATAAATGCCACATAAATCACATCCTAAAGACAAAAGCAGATTTCAAACATCTGAATTACTGAGCACTTAACGTGGAGTGTAATCTCCTGGTTTGGTTTATGTTTGTTTTCTGGAGTGCCACACAGAGCAAAATATGGGGAGTTCCCTGTCCTCCAACAGCGGAGGAAAGGAAAGGTGGTTTGCAAAATGCCCAGGAAAGAGCTTTTCCTGCGTTGCAGGTAAATCCCCCGGCCAAGTGTCTCCTGTGCTGCTGGGAATTGAACTACACGCAGAAGCAATCGATAGAAATCCCACTTGAGCTCTCTTGCCCATCACAGGGCAAGTGAGAGGATGCTCCAAAAGACAAAATTGTCCTTGAAAAAACCTTCTCTTGTGCCCTCCGAGTCGCTTCTTCCTTTGCATCGACGGCAACCTGTGCAAGCCTCCCCTTTCCAAGCTCCCTAGCATCCCCCCAAGGGTCAGGACGTTTCCAGTGCTGTTTTCAAGCCACAGCTCTTGGAAATTGTAACTAACAGATAAAATCTCTGGCTTCAAAGACTTCCACCTAGGATAGACAGGAAGGAAAACGCGTGTTTTCTCAGAAACGTGCACGTTTTTAGGGATAAAAGCTTATTCTTCCGCAAGCTTTTGTTTTCCTTTGCCCAGCCTGTGCCTCCCAGCTCCAGCTGACGCGCATTTTCCTTTGAAAAATCCATTTCTAGAGAAACACTTTTTAAAAAATCAACCTGTTCCCCCCGCGCCGCCGCGATTGGTCCGATAAAATCGCCGAGCCGATGGCGTCAAAAGGAAATAGCCTGGGCTTAATTGTTAAGCGAAGGCTCCCCTAATCCAGGGGAGCGTTTGAGATTCTGCCCAGGCACTGGGTTTCGGCGACCGCTGAGGGCTGTGGGTTTCTCTCCCAGCCTCCCGGCTCTGCAGCACAAGTCAGCATAGCTAATGCAGATAGAGCTCTCCCCCCGCTCCCGTCTCTCGCTCGCTCTCCCTCTCCCTCTGCTTTGATTCGATATGAACAGACTGGTAACTCCGATGCGAGAGCGAAAGCTGACATAACTCTGCAGATGGCTACGTTCGGATGATACACCTAGGGATTTTTCTGTAGGGGAAGGTAACGTTTAGATGCTAATGTTGATTTTTCCCTTGTTGCCATTTTTCAGGACTGCCGGTCCCAAAGAAGAGCCCAAAGTCGGTAAGCACTTTTCAGCTACTATTTTTGTCTGTTTGTCTGCTTTGAAGGAGAAAGGCATGAGTTCGGCTCTTTTTCTTTGTGGGTCTCGGTTGTTTGAAGTTGTATTTCTGTTGCAACCATGATTGCCTTGCACGGCTCCTGCTGCATGGGGAGGTGAACAGGGAATGCAGTACGGAAGGGGGACTTGTTTGCAAATAAAGCCTCAGGTTTACAGATCCTCTTCCCTGACAGATCAGCTTCTCTGTCATTTAACTTAGCAAAAAAAAAAAAAGCTATTGTTTCCTTTTGGAAAGATGGGAGGCTCCACCTTCATGCCAGATAGCAATTCCTATCGGGTGCTCATAGGCACCAACCTTTTCCATTAACTCCCTGAGTTTTCTCGAGTACCCTCGGCTGAATTATTAACAGAATGGGAAAGCATGCACCTTGTCGAGAGAGACAAAGCATGAATGGAGCATGATTACGGTTCCTGGGGAATACAGTTAGCTGTCCAAGTGCTTGCTCTGGAGGCATTTTCATCCTGAGCAGGATTGTGTGGCAGGTGTGAGATTCCTTATTAAAAAAAAAACAAACAACAGAACAGTGTTTTCTTGTCCCTTCTGATCGTATTTCCAGGTAAAGCAGTTATCTGGATGACATTTTAGCTAATAGCGTGGAAGCCGTGATCTAAAGTATCATTAAAGCTCCATGCATGATATTGTGGAAGAAATTAATGTGCTATTCTGTGTGCAACAAAAAGAAATGTTTATTTTTAAAGGAAGTGGAATGCGTAATGCCTGAAAGTTTCCAGGTATCTGTTGAGAGAGAGGAAAAATGAGAATTCTCTCCCAGCAGCTTTGGGGAAGCAGAGCGAGTGAGGTCTTTGCCGTGTTGTAAGACGGCGCAAAACTTCACCGACAGCCCCCGATGGGTGCCAAAAACTGCAGCTGGGCACAGCCCACCCCGCTGCCAGCCTGGGCCAGAGGTTTGCGAAGGGGCTGAGCAGAAGGCTGCCGCTTTCAATACGAGTTCTCTGTTCATCCAAAAAGAAAGCCCTGAAATAATTAATGTGATTCTGATGGCTTAGGGCAGCGCTGATTACAGTCACGTGAGCCCAGGCCTCTACCATTGTCAGCTCTCATTAATGCTGAGAGGCAGAAGTGCGGGGTGTGCTCCCTCGCAGATCACGGGCATGTCAGACCCTGCGCGCTCGCTGCTGTCATACGCGGAGATTATTTCAGCCTTCGGTAAAACAGAAGCGGGTGTGTAAGATACGTATGCGTCTGGCACGTTTCTCTTCGATGCCTGCACTTTTTTGCCTGGTTGGAGCGGGAATCGCTGCACGCGATCCACACCCCGACTCCCATCGTTAAACCAGCCCCGATCCATGAGTCTCGGTCTTTTCAAAGGGTTGAGGCTCCCGCTTTGCCACAGGCACATTCGGCAGCAGGTAAAGTGGGATCCTGCTGTGTCAGACACCTCTCTGGTCGGCAGTGATGCGCCGTGAAAATCTGAGCAGCATCTAAATCCACGTCAGGATAATCCTGCCTTGGTGAACAAAGAGGCTGCTTGCAAACAGGTGTAGCCCTGCGACGGCAGGCTTCTCCCCACTATTTGCTTTGAGGAGGCAGTCAGCCCTGGGAAAGCAGTCCCCTTCCCTCGTGTGCCTCTCCCGAGCCCCTCTCACCTGGCTTTAAGGTCCCTCCAGTATTTTTTACTGTGGCCCTGGGCAGTCCTGTTGCCTCTAAAGCGCAGGACTCACAAAAAGCAGAGCCTGCTGTTCCCCCTGCCTGTATACCGGATCATTTGCATCAGCAATTAGCAGCGATGTTTTACACTGCCGCATTGTGCGGCAGCTTTAATGACCGACGGCTCCTCGGAAAGGCAGAGCAGAGCGCGTTGGAGCCCGCACAGCCGCTCCCTCTTTCCCAGGCATTGGTGACTGCATGAGCTGAGCACAGAAACCTGGAGGAAGGCACCTTGGGGCATACGTATGCAGAGGAGGAGACTCTCCTCGGGGCTGTCGGGGATGGATTTACACCAACACCAGAGCCTGTGTGGCCAACGCGATGGTGAAAAGCACGGAAGTGCTGGTATTGCTTCACACCTTCCTTCCTCAGTGTATTTGCAGGGCTGGTGCTCAGCTGCGGGGTGGAAGGACCCTGTCCCTCATGGCCATGAAGATTCCCCCTTGCTCTTGTCCTGACAGGGGAGAGCCAGACCTGCCCCGTTGGCCGGCTACCTGGCTGGGACGGCGTCTCGCTGTGCCCTGCCCCGGCATTTCCCAGGGATGCTTTGCTGTGCTTGCAGCCGTGGGGTGAACATGGGTGCTGCCAGCTGAGCTGTGCACCCGTGGGCTGTCCCCAGCCCCGCGCGGGGCTGGCTGTGGGGACTGGGCTGGACGTGCTTAGCACGCCCGCTTCTTCTGCTCCCTTTGCCCAACGCAGAGGAACTGTTTTCCAGCATTGCTTGATTCATGAATTAGCTGCAGTTAGAGGGCAGCGTACATCCAGGACAGGAGCAGTTGGCCCAGTCTGAACTTGTGCTCATTCTTTGTTTCTTCTGCTGCATCAGGGAAAACATGAGCTCAGGTCTCCATCCTCTTCTGTATCGCTCAGTGCCATGATGAGCCTTCTCTTGTTACCTCATATCCTTTCCCAGAGCCCGGACGCGCTCCCGACTTACTGCCAAGGGCTGTCTCTTTCTCAAACAAGCCCTATTTTTAGCTATCAGCCCCGATCCCGTATTCCCGACTTCAGGCTGTTGGGTACCTCCCACCTGGGAGGAGGTGTTCTAGCCCCTTGGAGAGGTTTGTTAGTGCTGGGGCTGTGGCACCATCTGGGAATATTTTGCTGCCTTGAGCTCAGTTTTCTTGGGCTGTATTTTTCAGCTTGTCTATATCTTCTGATGGGCTTTGCTCTTCTTGGTTTTTAAAGATGGTTTTTCAACCTTGGTGTAAGAGACAAATTAGTAAAAAACAGTTTGCAGCCAGGCGTGGGACTGGGCACTTCCAAGTTTTTTCATCCTCATTTCCACCCACCAAGGATATGCTCACAGCAGCTCTCTGTGCTGCTTGTTTGTTCTCAGTGTCCCATTGATTCTTCTTTAGATCAAAATGGGTAATATTATTATATTGACCATCTGGGGATACACATTTTCAGTATGCAAGATCTGTAGTATAGCAATTTCTTCTGCAGTTATCCTAGTATAACATGGATGAAAACAAACTTTTTTTTTTCTTTTTTTTTCCCTTGTTGCTTGCATCAGAATACTCCACAAGGGGGCAAAGATTCCCATTTCCAGCTCAGTTTGCTGTCGCTGCCAGGACCAGCTTCTCCAAAATGCTCTAGAGCACAAAATCTGCAGCTAGTTCATCAGAAGACAGAGATGACTGCAGGGGGAAGAAAGTGCTAAGCTCTTCCAAAAATCTAATTTTTCTTTTGGTTGTAAATAAATACATTGTCTGCATAGCTGAATTTTGGCCAAAAATGCAATTCCTATGCACAGCCTGTCCCTGACAAGAGACTTGCTGCGTATTTCAGGTGGATAGGCAGCACTCGGGACTCTGCTGATGTCCTTTTTTTGTCAGGAGGAGAAGTAGGTTGCATAACAGGAGTGTTTGTACAACACATCCCTCTTCATTTAGAGATGATTTTTGTCCCCTCACCTTGAAATGCAGTGGGAGGGAAGCACAGCAACTCTTCCATCTCGCAGTTTAATGCCTGGAGAATCCCGTGCCAAAAAGCTTCGGTGTCCGTTCGTGCCGCAGGACGTGCTCCCTGCCGCCGTCGCCTCTTCTGCTGCGGGTTTCTCTCTGCCTGACACAGACATACACGACTGCTGCTAATAATTAGCGTCCCATCTCTGCCTCCAGCCACCTCTCAGCCGTGTCATGGGCCTCGGTTATTTTAGCAGTCGCTGTACAAAGTGACATTTAATTACTCTTTCGTTTAGCACGAATGACAAACTGGTCTCTGCTGTGTGGGTATCTGTAGCATTTTCCAGGCACTTGGAGACTTCTGTAAGCAGTTTTCCTCCTGTGTCCTTTTGAAGCACAACAGCTCCAAGCTCCCTGGCTCACACCGCCTTTGCTGTTTTCTTCCCTCCTCATAATCAGAGGAGAATGTAGTGCTCAGTGTGGGCTCACTCAGCCTCTCTGCTGAGGGAGAAGCTGCCTTTCAGGTCAGCAAATGCAGTGCCTGTGGCTGAAAATGGGATTGCACAGTGTGGGAAAGGAATCCTGGAAGGCTGATGTATGCCCAAACCCTGGCCGCTGCTGCCTGCTCTTCTGCAGCAATTGCCCCCACAGCTGCACTCGGGAATCGGAGCCACGCTGACACTCCTGTTAACCTCAGCTAATGGGGAAAGGGCAGCTAGAAAAGACTTTCTTCCCAATAGTATGTTTTATTCGTCTTGTGTTTTGCAGGATGAGCACTGTGAAGTTTCTGCAAGTGCATAGGGAAGCTGGCACAGGCCATGTGTCTCAAACCTGGGGCTTGGGTAGGGCATGAGAAGCTTCAGCCTCCCATGTATTTATTTTGTCATGGCTGTAATGCAGTACCAAGGTGATTGTTTTTTCCCATCACCTGTATTGAAGTGTGCTGTCTGCCTAAAGAGACTCAAGGTAGTCATCATAGTCTTGATTACTAGCCACTTTTGGTCAAGAGTCTTTCTGGCAAGTTACTTATGCTTATCCACAGCTCTGGAGAAGACCCATAGACTCTGGAGGGTCGGGGTGACTCTTTCTGGCTTGGGTAGTTCAGTGCCCCGTGCTATTGTAGCTACTGTCAGAAGTCAACAAGATCCAGCTGATCTGCTTTACTTTGCACTGAAAGATGTGATCAGTGTCTCAGAGTGAGGTCTGAACCAGCCACTCTACAGAGGTCTGTCACCGAACGGCCCCGTGCCCGTCTGGCCCTGGTTTAGATGCTTTCCTGGCCCTGTGTGAGCTGAGTGAGCTGGACAGTCAGATCCAGACCCGGGACGATTGGCCCCAAAGCTAGAAACAAGGCAGGAGGTAGAGAAGCCATCCTTTTATTAGCAGATGATCAGCTCATTCTCTCTTGGCAAAGGTCCGTCTTTGCACCGAGGCACAAACTTCGTCCTCTGGGCAGTCCCTGTTGCAGGAGTGCCATGGAGAGCAGAGCGGTCGGACCCCTGCGAGTCCTGCTGCTGCTGATGTGCTGAAGCTGCCACAGCACCTGTGAAAGTTTGACCTCAAACCTATTTGGCCTCCTCTGGTGATGTGAAAGTCAATTAATATTGACTTGAATTAATTTAATTACACATATTCATGTTTTCGATGATTGTGTTCCCCTTTCTCTACCCCTATCTTCAACTCTGAAGCAGAGATTTTTAAAGGCTTTTTAAAGGAGCTATTGTTTGGAATAATAACTGTCCCTCTGAAGAAGTATTCTGCTATTTCTTGCAAAATGTCTGTGTGTTTGCAATTGCAACTCTACTTCAATTAGAGGAGGTTTTGCCTGAGATATGCTGACACTTCCTTTTGCAACCCAAATACAGAACAGAATTCATAGTTTGTTCAATGTTTAGACCTTCCATATCATAAAGTGAGTACTTTTTAAAGTTCAAACTTTGTTTCTTTTTAAATCAGAAAGTTTTCAGAGAGTTCTCAACATTTCCCCAAGGGCTGAATAAAGCTTCACATTTTAGTCTCCGTACTCCAACTTCTGTAAACCAGCTATTTCCAGTGAGATTGGCCTGAAGTTTCACAGGATGCTTGTAGTTATTTTAGTAGTTTGGCCAAACAAACAAAACAATCCAGATGGCTGGACTGAGAGCTGCAAGGTGATTTTTATTTTTTTTTTACTTTTAAGTTACAAAGGAGTGATTATGCACAGCATAGATGTTTTAAAACTGCTTCATTTAAAAACTGAAGGGCTGCATGTGAATTAGCTTCTTTTACCACTTAAAGAGCTAAAAATGTTTGAAATTGTATTTGAAAGTCTGCAGATGAGTAATCACAGCAGGTACGCTTTGTTCAAAATTGCTTTAAAGGACAGAGGCAATTTCACATTCTAGTTGATCGAGGTATCATTTAAAAATATGCTTGTAGTGGATCAACAACTCAAATGTAAGACTGCGAGGTTAAAGTCATTTGTGCTTTTGGAACTGTTTTTTTTTTAGTGAAAACCTAAAAATATATGCTACTTAAAAAAAAAAAAAAACCCAAAATATTATTGTTGAGACTCAAAAAGAGGGTGCTTTCGTACGGTGACTTCCTCCTCTGTAATGAGTTTGGCCCTGCTGTGATGGAGCACTGGCTGCCTGGAGCTTGGCGTTCAGAGTAAAGGAGGGGGGCCCAGACCTGTGTGCGCTGCAGCCCCCCGTGCTGATCTGCTCTGGGTTTGCCGCTGGCTGTTCTCCCTACCCCTGCTCGGTTTTCTGCGGGGACAGCCCTGAGAGCAGAGACTCCTGTTGCAGTGTTTTTGGGTACCCCCTGCCAGCAGAAGGCTTTAAATTTTTGTCTGAGGTTTCTTGGTACGAGCGGCTGACCCCTTTTAGCCAGGAAATTGGGGATGTTGTAAAAACAACTTGTAGGACGCTGTTTTTCCGGCCGCCCTCTGCGTCACAGCAGCCCCGGGAAGGTGCCAGTTCCCTGTGCTGGAGCAGGTGAGAGATTGGACTCAACCCTGATGCCAACCCAAAGTCATCTCAAAAGAGCATTAAAAAGCATTTGCTGTACAGTTTGGGGAGCTCTTGTTGAGGGAGGGTTTTGCTGCATATTGAGTAGTACAAATCCTGGCAATGCAAATGTGACTCGTGCTTCGTTTGAGCGCACCGTTGTGAATTTGAGTTAAGAATTATGTACCCTGCTTAGCTAAATATTGAGCAGACAGAGCTCTTGACATACTGCTTTTGAATAAGCCTTGAATTTAGGCAGACGTATTTTTTCCTGTTTTAATACGCTCGATTAAAACAGGGAAATCAAGCTGCAAATAGACGTTTTCACATTTTTTGTGATGGTCTGCTGTAATCCTGTGGATGCTCTGGGAAGCAGAGATGTGGAACTGGTACTCTCCTGGCCACAGATTTGTGATGAGGGGGTTGCAAGGACTGCAGAGGAAAAGTGATCTTTCGTAGTAAGCGCTGCGCTTGCACCTGTTTCAGAGGGACTGTTTCAGTTTTCACAGTGCAATTTGGTAGTTTTTCCTTCTTCTTGCAGGCTCAAGTTAGATTCTAATGTTATCTGGGTAGAAGGTTGTTGAGTTTTTCTGCCTTAATGTAGGAAAAAAATAAGCGCATTGAAACTAGTAACCTATAATGAGATTTAGATTTGTTTTATGTGTGAGATGGAGAACTGCATATTTTTTTGTGATAAGTGACTTTGTTTTGCATATCTCTTCCTGTCAGTCTGCCTATCAAAATCTATCATTGGGGAATTTAACTGTACCCAGCATTAACTGGTGGCAGCAAAACTGTGATTTATATATTTACTTATGTGCATGCAGAAACCCTGATCAAAGAAGAGAGAAAAATTGATGGAAAACACCCACTCAAAGACCAATAACCGTCTGTTCTCTCTCTTTCCACTCGCTTTCTTCCTTACAGCAACCACTTGAAAGGAAAGACAGCCAAAACAGTTCTCAGCATAGCGTCTCCAGCCACCGCAGTGGGCACACCGCTTCCCCCGTTCACAGCACGCAGGTGCTGCCGGACTACACTGCCGCGGAGGCGCCGGCTGCGGATCAACCGGACAGTTCTGGGCAGAAAAAGCCAGATCCATTCAAAATCTGGGCCCAGTCCAGGAGCATGTATGAAAGCCGACGTGAGTATGAAGCAGGTGTGGTTGCTAAGGCTACGGCTCTGGCAGCTGCTCTCTGTATATTTTCTTCGCGAAGAACTGATTCTTTTAGATTTATGTTGAAAATATAAAGCTTCAGTTTGTTAATTTGCTATCTGATATCTACTTGATAGAGGTGCAGTTTTGACTCTGGTGAGGAATGGATTTGGGTCATCTCTGGGAACAGGCACTTAGACCAAAGCGTAATACAAACTAAGATCACTTTAAAATTAGGACCATCTTTTTCCCTCTTTTTTTAAATTTTCCTTTTAAATTAGGCTGGAGGAGAATTTCCAAGTTTGTTAACCAGATCCTAAACTCTTTTTTGGGGTTAAGACATGTTGTCTGATATGCACAGGAATTTCAGTGAGGGGGGGAAAGTATTTGGTCTGCTGAAATTCATATCAGATGCTTTCCAGTCTCACTCTGGGGAGGAGAAAATCCAGCTGAGATATTTTACTTTGACTAGAGTGGACAATTTAACAATACAAATATCAAATGGATATTGTAAGTGGCTTTTATGGCAATTAATAATCTGCACACTTGGCTAGTAGTTCATCATGTCTTTGACTCTGCTCCAAGACTATAAATACAGTTTCAATCAGTTTCTTCTCTGCAAACAAAATCAACGTGCAGGCTTTGCTTTAATTGCACTGCTGAAGATGATCAAATCTGTAAAAAGCTTCTTAAAGAAAGAGTTAAGAGTATTAGGTTCATTTTCAAAAGCAATAGTTACTTTAGTTACAGAAATGGGAACTTCAAGATCTTGATGCTGTGGAAGAGCATCACCTGGAGTTTGATTTTATTGTGCTAAGTGGAAATTAGTAAAACCGATATGAAATTAACATTACCCCAGAATGAAAAATGGTAGGACTGTGTTTTTCTGACCAAATGAATCACTTCAAAATCTTATGTCCTGGAAAAATTAAATCATGAGTCACAATTTCTTGGCTGAAGATGCATCTCTTCAGATTGAATGTCTCAGCAATGCAGTTTGTAGGTGTCTCAGCTTCTGTGCGCCCCTTCCCTTCCCTTGGCCAGGCATGCCCACCTTGCAGGCTCATGGGCCAGGTCGTGCTGATCTACAGAGAAATGCAGTGACAGAACTTGCACGTGCATCTGGTTGAAGTAGGGAAAAGGGGCAAGAGCTGAGGGACAGTGACTCTTGAGCCCTGCAGAGCTGCGGGCAGAGCTCCTCCTTCTCCTGCCCGGGTGGACTGGGCTGAGGCCATCCCGTGGCACCGCATTCCCCCTGCTCAGCTCACGTGGTTCCCACAGGCACTGTGCTGGCTTTCCCCCTGACCCCCTGCAGCTACTTAGCTAATTTCTAATTTACTGTTTAACTCATACTAATTAGTCATTGGTATCAGCTTAGCAGCCTGAACTCCTGCCTGTCTTTCCCAATAAAACCCGAGGCTGAGCCAGAAAATCCTGGAATGCACAGGCAGGCAGTCGCTTTTCTGCATCCACCTCCAGCACCATGTGCTAAATCTTCCTTTCCTCGATGGCTGCAGGTATCTTGTAGAGATTTGATCCTTGTCTGTGATTAAGCCCTTCCAGAGGACTTTTCACTGTCTCTTGACCTGCTGGTTTCCCACAACCCATCTCTCTCTGTGCCACAATCCTCTCTGCTTTGGCCTTTTGCTATACTGGGATCTGCTGTGCTCCTTCAGCTTCCCTGTCTCACCTTTCTGCGGTCGAGCATCTCTGTAGTGGGGTTGATGCTCTTCTGTTGCTTCAATCCTTGTCTCCTGCCTCTTCTACCAGATGAAACCGACCTGTTTGAACATCAGTACTGTTCTACCACCTTTTCATCCCATTGCCATTTCCTTCCCAGGAGGGTGTTTTCTGAGTTTTCTTGGTTTCACAGATAGAGGGTTTTTGGAGGATGGCAGAAGTGTGATATGGTCGCGTCTCCTTATAAGCTTATGCCACTAGAAGTGTCCAAGAGCTTATGAATTTCTGAACCTAAGCTGGAGTGAAACACCTTCCCTGGGGATTAACCTGCACTTTTGTCTAGTGACATGGCTTTGCTGCATCTAGTGAAAGGTGAAGAGAACCAGGAAAGATATAACCTATGTGGAAACAGGCAGTTGGACGTGCTTTGTCTCCTGTTGTGGTCTGTTCCCAAAGCATGACAGAGGGTTCTGTTTAAAGGTCAATGGTCAGCTCCTTCTCCTTCCTTCACCTTTTCTCCCTCTCACCAGTCTCATAAATGGAGACTGCGTCTCACAGCTGAAACCCGGCTCCTCTTCTGCCCTGGGAACTTGGGATGAGCCACCGTGTTTCTCTCCCTGTCTGCATGCAAAGTGGGCAGTTGGTGGCTGCTCCATTATGAGTCCCTTCGAGACTCACTTCCCTGTGTTGCCCAAGCACTGGCTGCGTGGCTCTTGGGCCGCTCATAGGAAGCCCTGCTGACAGGGAGCACCACAGACTGCGGGACGGGAGAAATTGCTCCCTGGGCCTCCGGTTTCACAGTCTGCCTGCTCCACATGTACCATTCATCATAGTTTTACCCAGCTGCAGTTCAGTTTAACTCCAATGTCCTCTTTGGGTGGCAGTGATACAGCCATGTCATTACTTTCTTCTTTACTTGAGCACCCATTCCTTTTGGCTTTGGGACTGAGGTTTGCATCTCCTCTCCCATGACATCCATAGCTTTGGGTGCTAGGTGTGACTCTCTCTGCATTCTTCTGATGGAGGTGTGAGCAGAACTAAATGAAAGTCTAATGTACAGCAGGAGAATGCCACCCTAGTGCCAGTGCTGAGATTGGCTGATGCATCCAGTAGCTGGGGCTTTTGGCGGGTCCTAGAAGACCCCACTGCCCGAGGAGCCCCAGCCCAGCTCTTCCTGCTGCCCAGTCCAGGGCTTGCTCTCTGTTGATTCACGGCCTTTAATTTTAGTAAACCTGAAAAAGATTAGCAAATGTTCTTTTGAGAGGCAGGGTTTTGAATCCCCGACAAGTGGACTGAAAAACAGCAACAACCCTTTTTGTTGAAGGATATGATGAAGTTAAAAAAGACAGAATTTTAGAGCATTAAATCATCTTCAGTGTTTCCTTTCATCCCGTTTGTGAAATTGTTGAGTATAAAGAGAACATAGTGCAATTTTTCAAGTGCAGTTGACACAAAAAGATGAATTCATTAGCCCCAGCCCAGACACATTTTTTTTCAATCTAAAAATAATAATATAAAGAGGTTTTATTTGATACATGAATACATCATCTCCAGCATGTTTCTAAGAAGTACTGAATCTATAATGACCACCTACTGTCTTTTTCATTGGGAGTGCCTCCCACTGTTATTAACATTAATAATAATAATGTAGACATGGAAAGCAGACAGGCAACATTTTAATTTTTCAAAATTGGCAAAATGTGTTCTTCCTTTCTTGGAGTATTCTTTGGATCATCAAAAAAAAGACTATTTGACTTAGATGACGTGTCTCACTGAAGCCATTAGTAGAGCAGAATTTGGTTCAAAAGCGCCAGATAACCCATAATTTTGTAGAAGTATGTATTTTTTGTTTTACCCAATGCATCTTAATATCAGGAAGTACTCAGATTGTGCGGAGGAGAGCCACAGACATTGCCTGTTTAGGGGAAGAAAAAAAAAGATGAAAACTTTAGCTTGAATTAATAATGCAAAGCTAAGCAATGGCTCCATAACTGTGTCTGGCTGAGTAGCCACAGATAAGAACTGCAACTTTATTCAACAAATACAGGCTCAAGTTCCTTCAGCTGCAGCTCCCCTGGGTGAGGAGATCAGGCCTGTAAGGTGCTGAGTCCTTGGGCTCCAGTCCAAGGAAGCTCATTTTCAAGCTGTAAACCCAAAGGAACTTGGATGCTTGAAGGCCAAGGCTGAGCTCAAATGCTCTGCTGCAGTCTGGCCCAGAGACGCAATTCTTTGCTGAATGAAGACTTTTGAGAATAGCCGGCTTTGCATGAAGTGAATCTGAAAACAGATCATTTGGTGGCGATAAAAAGTGCACTCTTTGCTGGTGCTGTTTTAGCTGCCTGAGGTCCCCTTTATGGGTAACTCATTGCTGCTAGTGGGAGTTGTGTACATGAATCAGAGAGAAGGACAAACCTTTAAGGTTTAAAAACTGAAGCGGTTCCAAGATCCAGGAATGACATACGTGAAGAGCACTCGGTGAGAGAAACAGTAACTGAATAGTTTATCAGAGAACCGCAATTCTGAAATCTTGCACTGTTTTCTTGAAAATATATTTTTATAATATGCTTTTTTATTTTTCAATGTATTAATAAACTTCCTTAAAGATTAATGCAATCTGTTGTCAAATTTTTCTCATGTGGCCTGATAGCTTTGCAAAATACCATATCCTACATATGGCCATCTGTCAAAACAGAAGTGACAAAACGAATTAATCTGAATTGCAGATGTGTTAATGAATCCCTTTGAAGGGCTTAAGCATTTAATTAAAAGTAAAGAAGAGTAAGATACACAATTTTTAAAGCTTTTAAAATATTCTAAATTGTCGTTAATATTTGAATTTTATTTTCAGGCACATAATTTATTTGGTAGGGTTTGCTCCCCCCAAATCTAATTAAAATAATACAAACAAGTCTCGACCCCAGTGTGTATCATTCACTCACCAGCAGTTACATAGAATTAAAAATATTTGCACAATGATACCAAACAGTAGATACTTTCTCCCTAAAATAGAAAAGAAAAATATTCTCAGGAAGTCACAGCCGCCGCCTGAGCAGACTGGCTTTAAAGAAGAGAGTTAGTAGAAGCCCCTTGGTAGGGTTATGTCCTTTTATTGTGCTAACAGGAGACAAACAGTTACTGTCATACACTTGGGCACACAGATGTGTCCATGCCCTCAGAGGATGCCTTGCTAAAAAGGACCATAGTCCTTGCAGCATGCTGCGTGAGCGGCAGAGGCTGCAGAGCTGCTGACGGAGCTGACTTTTCTGTTTCCCCGCTGTGGACAGACTTCACTGACGTTCGTCTGGCACCAGCCTGGTCCATGGCTCAGTTGAAGCATCACGCCTTCCCCGGACCTTGGTGGCAGAACTTGGTCATCTTGTCAAGAACATGCTGAAGCCATCTTTTGAAAGCTCTCCATGCCACCAGAAGGGTTGATTAAAAGGAAAAGTCAGAAAAACTATAATTCTTCTGCAGTGGGATAGTTTAGAAAACAAGGCTTTCCTGCAAATATGGAATCTCATGAGATTTATGGCTAAATCGCAGGACTTTTCAACCTTGAACTCTCCATCAGCTTCAGTGAGACTATTCACTCTTAATGTCAGACTTGTCCTTATACACTTTACTGAATCTGGGCCTTAAAACTTTTTTACTTTGCCAAGCTATGAGTCATTGAAAGTGCTGCTGCCTCAAATGAGCTAGTGACTAAAGCAAACGCATACTGATTATTTTGAATCCATCTTCTGCTGAAACTGATATCACTCTGGGCAGAATTATTTTTTTTTATATAACATGTAAGATAATTGTTGAAGTTTGTTTGATTAAAATGACCTCTAATTAAGCACTGTGTTCATTGTTCATCACCATGTATTTAGAATTTATTTTGACGTTAGAAAAAGATATTTCCGCTTGGAAAGCTTAACCGTGTCATGGTGGTGAAATTTTTTTTTTTTTTTAAAAAAAGTATTTTTAAGGTGTTCTCAAAGAGATTCTTCCTCTGAGGAGGAAAAACAGTTCTTCAAGTATACCTGCATGCATGTGCATAAATGTATAAATTCATATGTGTTTGTATTATATATCCACATGTACACAGGCATGTGCAAATAGACATGAAAATTAGTATGTCATAATCTATAGCAGCTATAATCTTAGCAGTTAAATGCATGAAAGCCTAACATGATCCATGCAGTCAAAATTAATTAAATGAACTAACAAGAAAGCAGATACATTAAGCTTTGCAAAACTGTAAAATTAATATTACAGCTATGTCACCTTCGCCTGCAACTGGACTGAGCAAGGGTGAGAGAGAGAGAGAAATCAATTCCACGAGTTTTGGAGAATGTAAGACTGTGCCGAGAATGTATCTGTGTCTTGTGATGTCTTGTTCGGTGTCTTTGCTGCTCTGTGGCGGGGGGCTCTTCATCACCAAGGGAGTCTGGCAGGGCCGTACGCCAAGGTTAGCCACGAAGGTGCGAAGTACTTGCTTCACTGTCTACTGGCTGGCGGCGGATTTCGTAGGCGTCGGTGGGGGGTATCATGTTCCTGTTCCATTCATGTGTTTGCCCACGTTGGTCATTGACGGGGCCGTGGCACTCACCTCTCCTTCCATTCCTCCTCACGGCCCCAGCAGAACTCTTCTTACCACTTCTGCGACGCTCTCCAAATGGTCTGGTTTAATTCAGGACGAGCAGACTGGCAAGTTTTACCCATTTGGGCTGTGTACATGTTTTTTTCAGAAAGTCAGGCATGCTTGAGGTTAGGTCAAGGTGCAAAGATGCAATGAAAGACTCCTAGAGGCCATTTTTGATTCATTTTCAACAAAAGTTTCAGCACCACAGTGACATTTTCCCTTGAAGTAAGAAAAGTGGCTCCTCTGAAACACTGCTGAATAGCAGAGAGCCTAAAGTAGTTCTCCAGTATGGAGAGCCTGAGGGCATCCTACCTCAGCTGTACGGAAACACGGAGGTGGATGGGGTTTTCTGGGCTGTGCCAGTGAATCACCACACTGCAGAGTTGGCGCAAAAAGCGGTAAAAGGAGTTTTGTTCGGTTTGTACTCATGCTGTGTAAACGTGTGTTGTCTGTATGTTTGTTGTATCTGTGTTGCATCTCCCTGTAATCCTTCCAGCTGAAGCAGCATTACATGAATGAACTTGATGCTTTGGGTATAGACTTGTCTTTATTTGTTGCTTTGATTTGACACCGCCGTTACACCTCGGCTTGCCGTTATCTCCAGCGGCCATTAATTGGCTAGCTGGTACCCAAACCAGGAGCATAAGGCATCGTTCAGTGAGGCTGGAGAGTTGACAAATAGGAAAGTGTTGAGAGGTGCTGAGGAAACGGGCCCACGCTGAAGCTCTCTGCAGAAGCCATTTTGCCTCTGACAGATCCAAGACGTGGTATTAATCGATTGGGGCCAGGCTTTGCCAAAAAAGCCTGCAAAGTGCTGGAGAGACGCTTCCAAATGTGTCTGCTCTTCACGCTCCCACTCACTGAAGGCAGTGACAAACACCAATTAATTCGTTGTTGAAGTTCTGCTCTTGTGGTGCGTGTCTGGAGGGTGGCGAGCTGGCTGAAGGCAGCTCGCCTGAACGGATGAACCATGCAGGCTTCCAGCATGCTCATTACCTGATTACTCTTTAATTGTACCTGGACAAAAATTAGCCTCTAGTTCAGTAAGGTAACGTGCATGGGTCTTAATCTTAGTTTGTAATTGCAAGTAATTAGAGTGTGCAAATATGATCTAGAAAAGCAATGGTCTAAACAAGTTTGAATAAAAATATGAAACCAGACATCTGTGCCTTAGCACTCACCTGTTCTTTTAATTTTTAGTATTCCCAGGTCTTCACCTGTTGAGTCATTGAGAAGAGAGCACGTCAGATCTAGCTAAAAGTCTTAACACTGAAAAGCACCAGATGACTAGACTCAAACCTTGGTGCAACAGGCACCAACAGTGTAAAATGCAATTAGGGGCCAGTCTGTCACTCACTGGTGTCAATGGAAAACAACCAGTTTATCTGCTTATAGATACAGGAAACTAGATCATGTTTCATTAACCGTGTTGCTTCCCATATCTGAGTATGCACTTATTTAAATTACATTCCTGAAGAACATGCTTTGATTTCTTTACTGAAGATATAGACAGCTGACTTGTAAAGGAACAACTTTTTTCATCATTAATTATAAATTTTGGGAGGGGATCATTAAAAAATTAATCAATTTTGCAGATACTAACCAATAAATATTAAATGAACCTGAAGTTGTCTTATGATATGGTTTAATGTTAGCAATTAACTTTGCATTTTTATAAAAGAGATGAAAGCAAGCACGAATAAGTTAATATAAAACATTTCCGTTCAACTGCACTTCAAGGTTAGTACTTCACTGTGTGTAATATTCATTGTAAAAACCTCACTGGTGTTCCATACTAATGAGTAGGTAAGGCTGGTCTTTTTTATGTTTCCAGCTGGTTTTGTCTGTTCAGTGGTTTTACAGAGCCCGTACACGGACAAGTGAGAGTTAGGAGTGCTGCGTTGTTTTCAGTGGAGCCCTTCTGTTTTACATCCACCAGGGATCTGTCCCATAGTTATTTAAAGCAGTGTCAGTAGACAGATAGCAAACTATGCTTGTGAAAGTTAATTAAACAGTAGAAGTCATAACAAGTCGCGCTTTTGTCTCCCATGAAAGAGCAGGCAGCTGTATTGTTTCTGGCAGAGTGATTCTCTGTTGTACCCATTTATTTATTGATGATTTGGAAAAGGCTCTTGCACAGAGTAATGATGCTAATAATGATAGAAGGAAATAATACAGTGATAAACAAAATGCAATTCACAATTAGACACCTAGAAAGTACAAACCACCGTATAATTCTTAGTAGTGATTTAAATAATAATTCTTTGGTATTTAAACTTATAAACGTTCTTAATTATGTCTAAAAATTCAAGACTGCCTCGTTTAAAGACTAAAATTGTGCAGCAGACCACTCTACACATATGTCAGAGTAATCCTGATTTGGGTATAAAGGGGGGGTGGGGTTGATTAACAATTATAGTTTTCCTTCTTTCATTTCAGTTCCAGATTACCAAGAGCAGGATATCTTTCTATGGAGAAAGGAAACCGGTTTTGGATTTAGGATTCTAGGTGGAAATGAGCCCGGAGAACCTGTAAGTACATCTAGAAGTGGTCTTGTTTTAACTTGCAACATCTTCCAGAATCATGACAGTAGCATGTACAGATGTGCAGAATTGCGCCATGGCATCTCTATTAAAATAATTAGTGGATTCTGTGTTTACATCCTGCTACTCCTCCCCACCCTCCCTCCAGAAAACAAACCAAAACTCCCATAATTCAAATGGCTGTGGCTTCCCCAGCTGTTCCCTGCTTTTGCGATAATCCAAATGAAAACACATAGGTCTGAAATTGCCTGGGCACTGAGAAAAGGATGTCCTCGTCAGGTTTGCAAGTATTTTGATCTTAGAGTGTCAGGTTTTCTGTTTGCTCAATTCCCTTCTTGAATTTGCTTAACTTCTTTACCAGAAATCCGGTACCTGTGGAAGGTAATCGGGCTAAAAATGTGGTCTTTCATGTGCTGCACAGGTCAAAGCTATATAGTGGCAGCATAAATTTCCACATATTTCCCTGCTAAAATTATTTAGCTCATTTGTGGAAAGAGAGGCCATGAGTTCCTCTCATGTTAGAGTAACTCCACAGAACTCGCTGAAGATAAACCGAGACTGAGATGGTGGGTAGGCGAGCGGTACGAAGCTTGTAAACCCTAGAGGCAACTGAAAGGATGACTCCATCTCAGCCTCCCTGACAAGACCCTCAGTGCTTTTAACCGTCTTCCTCTCTGGTCACTCACTGGTTGAACACATTTCCCAAGGCCATCTGTCATTAGAGTGAACAGACCGCCTAAAGAAAGGAGATGTCAATTTATTACAATTTCACGATGTGGCTATATTCGCCTGGAGCTGCTTCCATGGGAGCAACTTTCCTGACCAGCAGACGTTTGTCAACGATTTCCCCACTAAATTGGGTCTAACTACCAGTGCCCCTAGCTTCCAGCTGGCTGTTGAGCTAGTTCTCATGGATCACTATTTGTCTCCTTCCTTTCTCCTTCCTTTGCTTCCTTCCTGTCTTCTTCCTTCCTTTCCTTCCTTTCCTTTCTTTCTCCTGTTTGTGCTAATTCATCAGATTTACATTGGTCACATTGTGCCACTGGGTGCTGCTGATGCTGACGGTCGCCTGAGATCGGGTGATGAACTGATCTGCGTGGATGGGACGCCTGTTGTCGGGAAATCGCACCAGCTTGTCGTCCAGCTCATGCAACAGGCAGCCAAACAAGGTCACGTCAATCTGACCGTCAGGCGCAAAGTGGTTTACACAGGTAGGCTGCAGTGTCGCTCTGCAGGCGGAGATTTTCTGGCCAGACTCCATCTGTTCAGCAAACGGTTTAAAGGAAAAAAGCTCCTGCTTATAATACTTGGAAAACTCAGGGGATGTGGTGTTATTCTTCCTCTTTGGTGATTTTTAGTCTTTTTTATTCTTGATCAAGTAAGTTTCAAACATTTTCTTTCCAGTCAAGACTCTCTCCACCTTAGTTGGCTTCCCCAGTCTTCGTGAAGTTTTCTGATAAAACAGGGAACTGTTCAGTTGCGACGTACCATTTTTAGGTGGGCTCATGCAGCAACAGACACTGTACCTGGCTGCTTGTGTCTTCTGTTTTCTTCCCAAAACAACTGTGCTGCCTGATAGCCACCCTTAAACTGGGAGTGAGGGGAAAGATGCTGAAGAATCCACAGGAGGGGAGTCAAGGCCAGAGAGCGAGTGAGGGCATAGGTGTGTGATGGCTAACGTCCCAGGAGCAGGAGAAGCTTCAGCTGAGGTTGCACTATCTAGTGAGCTAACTGCAGGATGCAAAACTGTGAGTGTCACTGGTTCTGGTAGTGCAGGGTGTGCACGTTTGTTGTAACAGAGAAGTTTCTGTGTGCAGCGCACTGCACAAGCGTATGCTGTAACTGGACAAAAAAGAAGCTGGCAGAAAGACAAAGCCACAGAGGGAACTGACACTGCCTGGTGGCACCCAAATTAGAGATACAAAAACATCCTGATAGCAAAGAAAAAGAAGACACAAGCATGAGCATTTCTAAATGACATGTGACCTTGTGCAGAATGTTGGAGAGTAACACCGGGATGCTGCATCTTCTTGTGAGTCCCTTTAGGGAGATCTAGTGTGGGAGTCAGTTTAGCTCACTCGTTCGAGAGAAATGAGGACATTGGATAGCTTTTCAAGTTTAGGCATCAGCAGAAAAGTAGGCAGTGATGTACTTTAATCTTGAAGAGCATCAAAATAACGTTCAGGTTGAAAATTGGGCCCACAGTAGAAGTTAGGACTAGAACAGTACCTCTGAAATAGCTCTGTGTTCTTATCCAGGGCTGAGCTCTTTCTGCACAATATTAAATAAATGTTCACTTTGCATTTCTTTCCTTCTTCCCATTGTGGATTAAATGGCGGGTTATGCCTCTCCTCTAATAGCGTCTCTCATTCCTTTCTAAGAGCTTCCAATGTGAGAGAAGCTTTGGAAGGAAGGGGAAGGGCGGATGAATTTTGTTATTGTTTTTGTGCATAGATTTTCTGTCCAGTTTTGCAGCCTCTGGGCTGGAAATTACCGTGAAAGATTTAGATGTATGAGAGGTCTTGATAAAGACCCTTGGTATTTCATTCCGGGGCTTGTTACTTCAGACCTAGCTATTTCTGAATCATTTCAAATGTGGACACTTACTCTAGGATAAATTATTCAGGATCCCTTCTTTCACCTTCTATTTGCAGGCTTTTAAATTCCAGCATAACTTTGTAGAGATGCCTCTTGCTGAATTTTGATCTCTTATTCCTCCTCTCATCTATATGCCAGTAGAAAAAGATTGTTCGCCTAAATGGGTACTCCATGTCCTGAGATTCATATAAGGGAAAGCTTATACCCCTGTATTCTTAATATGTAGAATACTATATATTTAGTACATACTTTGAGTATATAAATGCAGATGGGTACTCCTTTCCAAGAATATTTTAAAGTTCTTTTTCTTTGGATCATGGGTTTACAGGTTTAGATTTTGTTTGGCATCCATTTTCTTGTTGTCGCTTTTAAGATCTTCAGCTTAGTTTTGATTCACCAAATTGGAGAAGTGACCCAATTAGTGGAGGCAGCCATTCAGTAGAGACAAGCGCAATATGCTGCTCTTGGCTGCGCAAATGGGCTGTGGAGAACTGGCTGAATAACAAGGAGTGGAAGCTATTGTGCGCCACAGGCTTTAACCTGAGGTTGGCTCAGGTGAAGGAAAACACTCTGCTGGGATGTAGGCAGGAGGGAACTCTCCTGATTTCCCAGCAGATGATGGCTTAGCTGCAATATGGTCCAGCACTTCAAGAAAGACATGTTTGAGTTGGAGAGCGCCCAACTGGAGGGAGTCCAGAGGACCAGAGAGAATAAGGAGAGCTCTAGAAAACATGGTCTGCAAGGAAATATTGAACAAATTGGGATTGTTTAGCCTAAAGCAGAAAAGGGGGAGGAGGTGTTAAACTCCCCAAGACTATAAGAGGCTGCTGCAAAGAGGAAGGGAATAATATGTTCTCCATATGCCTGCTAGATAGAACTAGAAAGAATAGCCTTATGTTGCAGCAGGGAAAATTTAAATTAGATATTGCACCAATAGGTTGCCTGGGGAGATATTTAACAGCAGATTAGACAAACATCTGTCAGGACTTCACAGTGCGTAATAAGCGATTTTTTTGAGATTTCTTAAAGCCTTGTGGTAGCTGATTAGATTTTAAACTATAATACCACTTCCAACTTCAGTTGCTGTTAAACATTTGTTTAATAGTAATGTTAATGTTAATAATGTTTAATGGTTCCCCCCTGACTGTGCCAGACTGTACAGATGATAGTTCTTCCATCCAGAGAAGCTTGGTTCACAAGTTTTTTTGCTTTAGTATGCGTGGTTATTATTACTTATTATTAATCAAGCACAATTAGCGGTATACAACTGATAGCATGGAGTTAAAAAAATACACAGGTGTTGAGTGGTGGATGTTTGATGTTATTCTGTCTCCTCACGTATTGTGCACATATACACGGTTGTACATATATAACTGAAGTGGGGATGTGCTAGCTACAGGAGGCACCCTGAACTAATGTAATCCAGGCTGGAAAAGACACAGAGCATCCAAGCACACAGCGCTGCACTGGTCTAACTGTGCTGCTGCTGTAGTGCAGCAGCGAAAGGCTTTGGCTGCACGACCATACGCTGGAGAGGGTGAGCATGTGTGGTCAGCTCTGCCACCAAACAGAGCTGTTGGTGGTGACGTCTGAAAGTAGACAGAGTCCTTGATCATTGTGGCCATGAGCTATACATTAGAGCAGGTGATTTGCTTTTCTTTTTCCTAAGCTTCTTGTCAGTGTATGGCACTTTTCAAGCACAGTCTTTTTTTTTTTTTTCCTCTGCAGTTCCCAAGGCAGAGAATGAAGTCCCATCCCCAGCTTCTTCCCACCACAGCAGCAACCAGCCAGCCTCGCTGACCGAGGAGAAGCGAACGCCGCAGGGCAGCCAGAACTCCCTCAACACCGTCAGCTCGGGGGGGGGGGGGCAGCGGTGTTGTCAGCGCCGTGGTCCAGCCCTACGATGTGGAAATCCGCCGCGGCGAAAACGAGGGGTTCGGCTTCGTCATCGTCTCGTCGGTGAGCAGGCCGGAGGCGGGGACAACTTTCGGTAAGTCTTGGGGTTTTTTCAACGCGCCTCGATTGGAGCGCTGCAGTGCAAGGAGGCGAGTGGGGATCTGTTTAATTAAAAGTCATGAGCATGCCCTAATTAATGTAATTAATAGCTTAATCGGAGGCCAAGACTTGGTAGGTGTTTGCCTCCTGGGTTTTGTTCAGTTGAGAACAGCAAAATGAGAAATCCCAACCTGAAGAGCAAAAATGCCACCGATGGCAATTCCTGATGCTCCCCAAAGTGCCGGCTCTCCCTGCTCGCTGGACGCCTTTCTGAGTTTGCTCTCAGAAGAGCAGCCGAGGATCCCCCCAGTGATGCTGTTTGCTAATGCAGAAGTGGAGCAGGTGGAATGAAACATGTCTCCTGATGGTGGAATTGAGCCAGCTGATTTAAAAGCAGTAACGCTTAAACTGATTAACTTGTCTTTGGCAATCAGGGTTATTCTGATCCTCATTATGGAGTGAGCATGCTGATAGCTGGAAAGTTTTAATTAATAGTGCTTGCTGGTAAGACATAAAATGGAGAATACTGTTAAAAAAACAGGGTGTTTTTTTGACCCATTCCACCTCTTCCCAAATCCGTAAGTTTATGCAATGTCACACTTAATATCGTGCCCTACTAGAAGGACTCATGGTTTCTTTCTGAAGACAGTCCTTTCTGCTAGGCAGACGCCCATTTCCAGGTGTTGCTGTAAAAGCAGGGTACACAAGCTGGTGCTACAAGTATGCAAAGAACAGCCTGCTCTAGAGCAGAACTGTCATTGCAAGCGGGGAACCGGTCAGAGGTGCTGTTTTCTTCCCTTTCCATCTCTTCCAAAAGGGCCAGAGGCAGCATCCACTTACGTTTTGTAGGGCAAAAAGGAGGTGTTCACTCCCTGTTCATCTGTGGCGTGTGATAGGGGTGGAGGGGGAAAGGAAAGACGGAACAAGTGCCCTGGCCATCTTCACACTAGCTCTCAGAGCAGGGTTGTGGTTTGCAGAAAAAGTGCATTTCAGTCTCCCTGTACAGCTCTAATGTTCCTGGGTCACGCAGGTGCATTGGCAAGAAGTGGCCTTTCCCCTTTTTTCCTAGGCTTTTTTCTCTGAAATTTCCTGCCGTTGCCCAGTGGCAGTGCCATCGCTAATAAATGAAGGGAGTATCATCTCCTTTGCTGGTATTGATGTAGAATGGGCCGTTGCTAGGACTGTTCTGGGCAGTCATGGCAGCAGAGGTTTCAAGGGGGAGATATATAGTATGAACCTGGCACATCAAGTTCTGTCAGTTCCCAGGTGCTAGGCTACCTCACGCTGTCCTTGCTGCTGGAAACTGCTCTTCCAGAACAGGTGTTTTGGAGCCAGAACACAATAGTGCAATGTAATACAGTTTAAACTGAACTCAGTCTAAACTACAGGGCAAGCTTTCATCTTCTGAAAATATTTGCAAACGTGTGTGTAAATGATTTTTGCTGTATGAAGACTATGCTCTAACTCTTTTCTGCAGAGAAACCTTGACCTGAGGTTGTAAAGAGTTGTGTTTGCTTTAGCCCAAAATACTAACTGAAAATTTTCTATGCAGGGGCTCCTCATGGAGATCTGTTGATCTGTGACTGTTTTTCCTTTAATTTTTTTCAAGTGTATTCAGCTTTTTCCTAATACTCTGCATGAGATGTGTTCCCTCTGCTGCGTGGTGCTTGCTTTGGACCTGCTTTATAGTTTTTTCCTTTCGTGGGTAGTATTTAGAGATGGGCCAAACTGGTTCTAAAACCCACCTTGGTCACTTTGGTGTGGGCTCTGTCATCTGTGTCTAGTGGATTGGATACAGTAGGAACTCATTTCAAATACCCTCAAAACAGCCTTTAAACTGGATGGGTCTTTGTATTTTGAGAAACTTTCTAAAGTCACAGTAAAATAAAAGAAGAAAAATCCTCCCACCATTTGCAACTAATATTAACGCTTTCTGCCCGTTTTCATCACACGTTTCGAACGTTATGCTCTCACCTCACATTCCTTTTCTTAGCCTTTTCTTCTTTATGTTCTTTCTGGCGTATTCATATGTGCAGTAATGTCTGTCTCTAAAGCTGCTAATCAAATAAAGACTACAGCACAGATGGGAAAGTGCGTCTTGAGGGTAAATGTATCGTGGATGCAAAGTATGAGATGACCAGTCTGTATACCTCATGGTTTTAACCATATACTGCGTGCCTGAGGGCCTATTGTCCGTGTAAAGAAGCCATACAAAAGCCTGGTGGATTTATCTGAGTGAAGCTGTGTATCCCCTGTGTCTGGATTCTGCGTTTTGTGGACGAGCCTGTGTTTTTGGGACAAACAGTTGCATGGAACCAGGAGGAGAGTTCATTCTCCAAAACACATTCATCCTAAAGTGCTCTTGCTCTGTTTGTCAGACAACCCAATGGTTTTGTGTGTGGTTTTAGAGGTGTTTAAATGAGGAGGTGCTTATTCGTGGCCTGCTCCTCTCCCGATGCCATCCAAGATTATAAAAAGGGTTAACAGAGGCGGAGGTGGATGCCTGCACCAAAGAGGTTACCTTTGTCAGTCTTGGCCCATCTGTAGTGATCCTGTACTTTCCCTGGTAGTACCTTCATTCACGATGGGAGAAAACTGTTTCATGTTGCTTCCCCATGCAGCGCTGGTAGATTGGGTCTTCATGGTAGAAAGGGAGTTGCACTCCCTCCTAGGCCTAGAACAATTTTGTCTTTCTAAATTGAGAAAGAACAAAACATTGGCAGAAGCTTGAACAACAGTTGACATGGAGAAAGACTAGAGATGCTGACACCGATGTAGTCTTGGAGGAGAAGGATTGAGTTTTCTACTAACAGTTTCAATTTTTTTGTTCAAAAACAGAATCAGGATTTGGGTTACAATGAGGCTGCGAAGTGCAGTTGTAGTCTATAAAAATCTCACCATTTATTAACAGAAATCAAGGGGGGGAGTTTTGAATGATTAACAAAACACCTTTTTGCAACAGAAGTAAAGTATTGTGCTCTCGTACTAGTTGATTGCCAATGTTTTGAACACTGGCAGCAAAGCTATCCCCCTTTTTCTCCTTTTCCCCTTCACCATATTCCCATGTATGTAAAAAATAAAAAAACAAAATCAAAACAAAACAAAACAAAAAACAACCCCCAAACCAATACAAAAGCGGGAAATGCATGTGTGGCCATGCCTCACAAAATAGGTCGGATAATTGAAGGGAGTCCCGCAGACCGCTGTGGCAAGCTGAAAGTAGGCGATCGGATCTTGGCCGTGAATGGGTGCTCCATCACCAACAAGTCGCATTCAGACATCGTCAACCTCATTAAGGAAGCGGGAAACACCGTTACCCTGCGCATCATTCCAGGAGATGGTAAAGTATATGTTTCCTGCTGTCTTACCTGACCCTCTTGTTGGTTTTTTTCCTGGGCTTTTTGCATCAAACAGAGCTGCAAAGTCGTGGAGGACTCAGTTTCCACTCCTGCTTTGGGAATTAGCAGTGAGGGACGTTGTGAATCTCCTATAGCTTAATTTTTTGTTTCTTTCTATAGAAATGGGAGTTCTTTTTTTAAATAGGGAGGTGGTGATTCTACATTCCATTCTGTTGTGTTCCTCCACGTACCTCCTTAAAATGATCTTCTGTAAATTTGATGCATGTCTCGGTACACTTTGATTTGGTTCTTAGGTTAATAGTGCAGCTTTAGAATATTTGGTAGTCGCTCGTTAATATGTGGGATTCCTGAAGCTTTGTATATACACAAGCAGGCTGTAAAGAGATCACAGAAAGGGCTAAACACTTTGTCATGTTTTAAGCTGTTTGAAAAGAAGATTTGTTTTTATTCTGGGTAAGATACTTTGGGAGAGAGCTCAGTACATTTTGAAATGACTTTGTTAGATGGAGATGGCTCTGGACCTGCTGTGTGCTTGCAGCTGATCCTTCCTTGTAAGAGTTACGCTAGACAGGATCTCAGTGTTTCAGATCAGAGGGATCACGCAGGATTCCTAATTAATATTCTGACACTTGGTACTGGTTTCAGGTCATTGAACTATTTAATAAAAATAAGGATCCACGTAATATATCAGTTTCATTACACTACCCCTAGCTGTTGATGCCAAATAGGAACAGGGCAGAAACACGTGTAAAGTTTCTGTAGCAGAACTCAGATTGCTGTGGTTCTAAATTCTGAGTGTTTTGTTTGTTCATTGTCCTGCTCTGCCATGCATGGGTTCATAGTGAGAACTCTTAGGTAGAAATCTTTTTACATTGCTCTCTTTTTAAGCTGAATCTACAGGTATGAGTTTGGATGGCTCAGATACAGTGCTATTGAGCTTTTCTTAGAGTCGTACAGGATACTATTTGCATTCAGTTGTGATTAAGTTAGAAAGGTTGAGAAGGTGTGGCTGAATTGAACCTGGTACCTGTAAAGCAAAATGAGTAAGTTACATGATGTGGTTTCCAGTGAGAAGCATTCGGTAGTTGCTAACTCTCGTGCTTACTAATCTGAAACATGGACTTGGTTACCACACAGAGCATGATTATGCTATGTTTAGTTATAGGATAAAAATATGCCAGGATGAGAAATGATCTGTTTATAAGTAATTTCTGTTTAGGATTGTCTGTTTTGCTTAAACACTGTATTTTTCTAGTGTTTAGTAGCTACCAGGTCAAATGGTATGCAATCCTTTGCTGCTTCCAGCAGCAGAATGTTCATGAATAATAAAATGGCTGTGAATCAGGCTAACATCTGAGCTGGCCAGTGCATGCCAGTTTTGGAAGGTGAAATGGGAGAAGAATTGTTCATTATTTGTATTTTGGGATCTGATAAAAATCAAGGAAGGTAAATCTTTGAAAAAATATTTTTTTTTAAAGGCAAAAAAACCCCTAAGAAATAAGTAACTTTTGAATGGTTTAAGAATTTTTTAAGAACTATATAGCTTCCTGACATGAATGCTCAGCTAGACTTATTCACGCAAATACCTGTACAAAATACCATGCTAAACTGCTTAGGTTAGAAGGGAAATCTGTATCTGTGACTGACATCAGGTTATCCTAGAGAGGGTGGAAAACTGTCATTTTGTGAAGAAGTCAACTCTTCTCTCTCATAGCAATGCAGCCTTCAAGTCTTTTTATTTACTGTCCCTTTGAAATTCCAAGTCAGACTGCCAGCTCTGCATGGAAGTACCTGCACTGAATTTCCAAAAGCCAGTAAGACCAGACAGTCTCAAAATTGCTGAGAGGTTTGCTCTAAAAAATGAGATCTAAGAAATTCTTCTCAATGTTGTTTTCTTTTTCCTGTCTTTGGGTGATTTTGTTGATTTGTTGATTTCTTTTTGTTGTTTTTGAGGGGCTTTGTGGTTAAATTTAGGTGGTCTAACAGTGCATTTAAACATGGGAAAGGAGAATAAATCAGAAGCCATGCTTCTCAGATAAACAAGAAACTAAGGCTCATCACAAGACTCACAATAAACTCACACTGCTAATCTCTTCTAACATTATTAAAAACACGAAGGGTTTTTGCTGTGTAATAAGTCTTGCACCAACTCATTGCCACAGACCACTGCAGGAGTGCATTTGCAATGAAATTACGACGCTTTAACGTACTGCCAGCTGATGCAAGGATATGGAAAGCTGAGAAATGACGAGCTTACATTAGGCATTTAATTGGTGTCTGCGTGTTCTAGGGCAGAACAAGGAAAGGCATCAAAGAAATATTTAGGATTTAGAACATACAATTGTAATTCTACTAGAGAAAATTTTTGCTGTAGTTGTGTTCTGTTCCAGTTATGCATGGTGGCTGGCACGTGTCCTGAACCAGCGCTTGAAAAACTAGCAAGCTCCTGACTCGTGGGATGGGGTGAGCTAAAGATAGATACAGTACAGTGGTGTGAAGATACATCTGCACCAAGATGTGTTGTTGCTCTACTTGGTACTGTTAGTGTGACCTACTAAAGGGTACGAATCTTGCATTCTCTTTGAAGCCCATCTTCAGTTGATCTCCAAATATTTGTGGAGGTTTTCAGAGGCTTTTGTTCTGGATGAATACAGAACACTTAACCATGTTTTGGGGCCTTCTTATGTTGGAGAATTTTAGCAACAAGGCATCTTTACAAAATACACAGAGTTATTTCTTAAAATCCAACAGTGTAACCAGCCATAGGGATGTCCCCTCCTCACACAAGCCAGCTGTCAGTGCCACATCCTCACAAGGGCATGCTTGGGTCATGCCTACCCTGAGAGTTGCAGGCAGACACAGGAGCCTCTCTTGCTCTCTGAGCCACCGGCCACAAGCCAGCTCTGGTCTGGAAGATGTTACAGCTCCATATGCTGAGGATTTGGGCATGTTAACTTGGGCACAGTGCTGTAGGCAAAGGAGCTGTGCTCTCGTTGCACCCATCTGTTTAAAT